GAACATTGGGGGCTGTAACCCCCAAACTGGGAGAGCGGCTCTAACAGATCCCAGGAACAACATCTGAGATCTCTGTCCAGAAGAGTGCAGTCCTAGGAACAGCTAAGATACTGCACAGAACCCTCAAGCTCCCAGGCCTCTGGTAGAGGACCCGAGCTTGAAGGAAGACATACAAGACTGCTCCAAAGTGGGGGGCAAGTGGGGAATTTTTATATAAAGAGCTATAATTTGGGAATAGGAACCAATTCTCACTGCATTTTTTCCCCTTCAGCAAGCGCAGCATTTGATTGAGCAGCACTTGGCCATCCTGGACACAGAAGACTGGGGCAGCGGGCTGCTATGTGCTGGGGTTTGGCCTGACGGCTTCCCCTCCGCTCTGCTTTCCTCAGAGGATTCCTGCTTCTCTACTGTTCTCCAAGATGGACAGGTCCTGTCATTTTGCCTGAATACCCTCAGTCTGCAGAGTAAACGGTAAGTTAACAATATTAGTACTCAATATAACTCAATATAAAAAATATCAAGTTGAAATACTGAAAGTAACTGAAGTGGCAGTCAAAACATATTTTCTGAGAAATGTTGAAATGACTATTCCAGTTGTTCCAGTTCAAGTTGTAAGCTGGGTTACAGACCAAAATCAGGGGTTTGTGTTTGTGGAGCATGTTGTTTAAGGCACTGGTGAGACAATGAAATAAGGACCAAGGAAGTCCAGTTTGCCAAACACCTAAACATTGCACAACGGTTTATAACATGCACAGACAGGACGTAATAAATCTTGAAAATCACAGCTCAAGCAGTCGTGAGGTAAACAAGTGTTGTAATGTTGTTTGCATTACACAATAATCTAACAGGAATGTGCTGTGGCCCAGAAAGTTTGCTGGAGACACCTCTGTCATTTAAGATCAGTCTGAATGGTACTGGAGTGCTGAGTAAGGTCAGGGTATTGAAAGCTCAGTTGAGAAGTTAGGGTCAGTTGAGCAGGTGGAGTAAATGGTGTAGGAACAGTGGAAGTTGTCAGTGAATATGTTTTTGTTCCAGCGTGAGACCTGAAAAGTTGTCAGCGACAATCTTATTTGTAACTACTGAGTAAAAGGAACAGCGGTTGTTGGTTTAAGTGTAACTCCCTCATTTAAAAAGTAAGGTGAACGTAGTGAAACTCTGTTAATGTTTAAGCGCTGAAATCAGATGAATTATCAGCATAACGCATCAGTGCCAAGGTTTTCTTTTCATTTTTTTGTCGTGGACAAACTTTATCAACTTATCAACATTGGCATTGAGAAAGTCATAGTTTATTACTGTTCTTTGCTCAGGAATCGTCCACTGAGTCTGAGTGACCTGCAGAGAGCGTTGCAGGGCTGTGGTGTTCATGAAGGCCAGGTGTTCTCTGGAGGAGTGGTGGATCTGGAGGAAGGAGATGTTCTGAGGCTGATCCCCACAGCAGTGAGACTGCTCACAGAGAGAGCCTCTCATGGAGACTGGGTCCTCCGCAGCAGCTGGCTCTCACACCTGGGAAAGAGCTACAAATATGCCCCTGGTTTGTTACTCTGCACACACAAGTGCACAACAGCTCAATGTTAGACTTGGCTTCATAAGCTTCTATTGTATTACAGGTCAGCTTTTAAGTGCACTACACTGCAAAGGTTAAAAAGAATTTTTTCTTAGGCACGATTTCCAGTACTATCCAGTACTCTGGATCCTCAAACTTTGCCCTTATTGACTCCTCCAGATTCAGCGCTGGTCCAGGTGGAGGCAGGAAACAGGGCTCTGAAGGCCATTTTTGGTAGCAAACTTGCTGCTAAGGGCAAGTCACTAGCAGAATTGCTCCAGCCTCACAGCATAGGTAAGTAAACCTTCTGTGATTTTCTTGTTGTTCCACCAAAGTTTTTGTTTTTCTTTGAAAGTTTAATAAAGAAGCCATTAAGGTTGTTCCTCATAGCAACTTTAGTTGTAAGGAACATTCAGTGCAGGTGAGTCATGTATAGAATATGATTATGGAGGCTAGGTTTAAGTTAAGGACACTGATGCTGTTGTAATTTAGATATTTCTATCAGGATTATAAAAAGATATATTGTAACATTTCTCTAAGAGAAAACTTGATTTCTTCACAGTTCAAGTATTGTCTTAAATGTGGTCTTTGCTGACTTTAGTATTTCTGCTATCAGACAACCAGGTTTCCACATTTTAAGTCATTTGTACTGAAACAGTAACCAGACAAAAACAAGGTTAGTAGAATATGCTGTAATTGCGTACCAGTAATAAAAACACTATCCTTACATAAATGTTAAATGGTGTTAGAACTAAAAAAAATCTGTATGTTCATTTGTTGAGACATTGCTAAATCTGGCTAAACTGACAGATGTTGTACTAAATGAAGAGCTGTTTGAGAGCAAACGAGCTGGCTGTTTAGCTTAGCTTTTTGCTTAGCTTTATTTAACAGCTGTTAAAAGCCTAAGTGACAATTGCTACAAACGGCAAACAAGAATGTTTTAATGCAGAAAAATGTTACAGGGACTAAGAATCATTGTACTAGGGGCTTTCATCACAGAGTAAGAAGTGCTTTAGAGCAGATTTCAGCATGTCGGAATAGGAATAGGAATCAGCCATAACATTATGATCCGCCTGCACAGACGTCAATTTGGCAGTTGATTGGCACTCATGTTACAGTGCATGTTGTGTGAATTTGTTTGCTACCATAGTTACACTGTCTGAAAGAACACAATTAACTTAGAGGACTGGAAGTTAAGGATAGTCACCTTTATTGGCCAAGTTACACACAAGGAATTTGTTTCCGGTACAGAACTGATGGCAGCCATCTGCGGCGCCACCTCAACCGATGGTTCTAACCATTGGGGGCAATGGGGATTACTCCCGAATCAATGAAGTGCCCAAGGACACTTCAACACATGGACTGCCAGCACTGAGATTTGAACCTTCAACCTTCTGGTTGGGAGACGACTGCTCTACCCACTGCACCACTGTTGCCTCCCAAGTTAGGCATTAAGTTAGGCAAGTTCACTTTCTGCCTAATGTACCCCACACACTGACAGGTGCCACTTTGATGGGAAAAATAAGTGTTATTCACTTCACTTGTCAGTGGTGATAATGTTAGTGCTGATCAGTGTATATACTGTGTATTGTGATATTGCATATCTGAAATTGAAATAGAGGGCAGCACGGTGGTGCAGTGGTTGCCTCACAGCAAGAAGGTTCCGGGTTCAGGCCCCACCTGAAATGTCAAGTGTAAGTGATAATTTCAGCTGGAAGTGCAGGTGTCAGATGTAAAGTGTAAGCACTGAACCTGAGTGGAGAAAACTGTGGGAGTGAGGTGAACTCGAGGCTTTTTTTTTTTTTAATTAGGAAATGTTTGCAGATGAAGGGTGGAGGTATCAACTTAAATGCATGCAGAAGTCTCCAGAATTGCTGCTATTGTTACATTTAGGGCCATATGTAGCTAGTTTACTAGGATATGTTCATTACCATTAGGAATAAAAGTCTAAGAAAAGAATAAAAATATCTTGGATAAATGTAAAAGATGTTAAGTACTCCTGTCTGTTTTTGTTTGATTGCTTATTATGTTGAAGATGAATACAGAATCCTGGTGGACATGCGCTGGAACAAACAATATCTGGATATTTTGGCCAATAAATGTAACTTTGAGGACGAGGAAAGATACATGGAGTTTCTGGAGGCCCTGAATGCAGTCGCCAACAGGTAATACATCAGTTGATATCTCTTGCCATGTATGGGACTCCAGTACAGGCATGTAACATGTAATGCCACTCAAAAAGAGATTGCTGTAGTTAAAGATGGGATTGTAACAATTTAAGTGCAAAATCCATTACAATGAATTAAAGATGTGATGCATAATTCAGTTCTACAAGTTCTGAAAATGTATGAAAATATTTACTTTTTTCAATTCTTAGATGTGTAGTAATTAAAAGACCTTAAAAAATTTTGTCATGTCTGCAAACTGTATGCTGATGCTACAGCTGTCATTTCAGTAGTCCTGATGTTTGTTGTGAAATAAGGTAATCTTGTGTGAAAATTGTAGAAGACAGAAGTTGTAGAAGATAAAGAATGTCTCTCATCTGGTGGTTAAGCAAACATGTTCTAAAGGTGCAGAGTGCAAATTATTTGTTTGTGTTTGTTAGGATTGTCCTAATGATGGAGAGAGAGGAGAGGTCTGTCATCTGCACCTGTGCTAGCAACCTGTCTGCTCAGAACTGCGCTCTGAGAATAGCCACAGCCTTCAGCAAAGGTATCAACAGGACACTTTGGGTAGTTATGAATGTACTCATGCATCAGCATGGTACCTGACCCCCAGCTATATAACTAAGTTACGGTGACCGGTCAAAGCATAAACAAAGCTCTTCCCACTGAGCTGCACAGGACCATTAATGAAACGTGAGATTTGTGTTTAACTTGGAATGAATTTGTGCATTTCTCCCCACGCAGGGACTGTGGATGTTGGTCACCTACCCCATCCAGTGCTGATGCACCTGCAGACCTTCTTTGACCTGTGGGACTCCTTCGCCATGCAGGCTGTGCAGAATGGACAGCCCTACATCTCAGACCACATTATGTTTGAGGTCTGAAGCTTTTTTTTTTTTTTATCAGTCACTTTTACTTAATACTCCTGCTAGTACTGTTGTTACTGCTCTTACTGCAGTTACTACTGCTAGCTGCTACATTTCTTCTGCTGCTGCTGCTGGTAGTCATTGCTGCTTACTGCTACTACCACTGCTATTGCTACTATTACAACTGCTACTATTGTTATTCCTTATACTAATATTTTATGTCTACTGTTAACATTAGATGCTAGTGCTCCCACTGTTATTGCTACTGCGCCTATCACTACTGTTACTATTATTACTACTCCAGTCCTAGCTGTTAGTAATTTTAATACAATTAATATTTATGTCAGGAATAAAAGGCCTCCCGGGCCATACTTCCACATCCACATACATTTAGGTATACTGACATATTAATAGCAGAGGATTTTTGATCTCATCAATGACAAAACTAGTATCTGCATTACATAATGAAAACTATTCAGTTAAGATGGCGGCGCGAATGAACGCAGCGGCCCCTCTCTCTCTGAGTTGTGTGCCTAAAAATGTGTGTTATAGTGCGTGTTCGTGTTTGTCGTGTGTATGTTCTGGTGGGCGTAGTTCAACGTCTATGCTGCGCCCAAGATACAGTTGCCACTGCCTTGTGGATATAGAATACAAGTCAAAACATTTCAACTTGGACCAGGAACTTCGAGGCCTGGGCCTTCTCTGCCGGATTCCTGCATCACCGGACACACCAGCTGCATCACGCCCTGAGAGGAGGCATTGGAAGCGGTGTGAGCGTAAACAGAAGCAGGGCAAACGGGGAGGCATCCAGGCTAGGCTAGCAGCTAGCCCACATAGACCCACAATACCATCCCTCATTATGGCCAATGTATGCTCACTGGACAACAAAATAGACCACATACAACTCCTGAGATCTGCACGGCATGATGCAAGGGGCTGCTGTGTTTTTATCTTTACGGAGAACAGCCTCAGTGACTTCTTTGGCCGCTTTGAAATGCAAAACAGCACACCAGCACAGAAGACCACCCCTCCCCTGGGCAAGCAGGCTGTGTGTCTGTCTGCAGCCAGCGTGAAGAAGACCCTCTCCGGGATCAACCCATGCAAGGCAGCTGGACTGGATAACATACCTGGTCATGTTTTAAAGGACTGTGCTCAGGAGCTCAAGGATGTCCTCATGGACATCTTTAACATCTCTCTGAGTCAAGTGATTCTTCCCATGTGTTTCAAGGCCACCACAATAATTCTAATTCCAAAGAAGCCCCACCCAACCAGTTACAATGACTATCAGCCTGTACTACTGACTTCAATTATTATGAAATGCTTCTGCTGGTCAGGCAGAACATCAAGTCCATCCTTCTTCCCTCTCACAACCCATTTCAGTTTGCATACAGGTCAAACAGGTCCATAGAGGATGTATATTGATGCCATTACTGTTGTTCTCCATCCAGCCCTCACTGACCTAGATTCAAAGAACTTTTACGTGCGAATACTGTTCCTAGACTTCAGTTCAGCATTCAACACAATAATTCCCCAGCAGCTTACACAAAAACTTGGGACTCAAAACCTCTCTCTGCAACTGGGTGCTGGACTTTCTAACAAGGAGGCCACAAAGTATGCGGGTCGGCAGCAACATCTCCAAGACCATCACGCTGAGCACAGGGGCTCGGCAAGGGTGTGTGCTCAGCCCATTGCTCTTCACACTGCTGAGCCACGACTGTGTGCCATCCTACAGCACCAACCACATTGTCAAGTTTGCGGATGACATGACTGTAGTTGGCCTCATTACCAACAATGATGAGGCCAACTACAGGACTGAGGTGTGCCAACTGGTCCAGTGGTGTAAGGACAACAACCTCTTCTTCAGTGTGGGGAAGACTAAAGAGATCGCTGTGGACTTCAGGAGAAAACCTCTAAAGCATCCAGCACTGACCCTTCGACGTTGCTGTAGTGGAGAGAGTGAGCAGTACCAAGTTCCTGGGGGTGCACATCTCTGAGGACCTCTCCTGGACCAATAACACCACAACACTGGCCAAGAAAGCTCAAACATGCCTCTACTTCCTCTGCAAACTGAGGAGAGCCAGTGCCCCACCCCCCATCATGAGCTCCTTCTACCGGGGCACCATTGAGACAGTCATCACTGGCTGCATCACTGTCTGGTACGGAGTCTGTACTGCCTCCTGCAGAAGGATCCTGCAACGCATAGTGAAAACAGCCAGCAAGATCATCGGTGCCCCTCTGCCTTCCATTACGGACATCTTCAACACCTGCCTCACCCACAGAGCCATCAGTATTGCTGATGACACCTCCCACCCCGCACACTCCCACTTCAGATTCCTGCCTTCAGGGAGAAGGTATCGGAGTCTTCAGGCCCATTCCACCAGACTTACAGCTTCATTCACCAGGCTGTGTGGGTGCTGAACGCTGTCCATTGGTGAAATGGTGAATTGACAATAAAATCCTTGAACCTATGCCAAGAGGTCAAGTCATGATCATACATCACAATGACAAATAGTAATCTCTGCATTCCATAATAAATACAGACTGCTAGTCACCATACAGACCCAGTTACAAATCAGTGTAAGCAAAATCATTTAAATAATCAATACACAAGTCTTGGTACATGCAGCAATCACATAATTCTATCATGTAGTTCTCCAAAGTCACTTCACATTACTTACAACTTCTAGCTGTCAATGGTGTATTATTCCCATCTGCCCATCAAGTTATGATCTGAACAGAAATAATGATGGCATTAACTGCTTATGACAAATGGCAGTAAAGTAACATTCTATTTCTGGAACAAATTTATATTGAGAATATTTACCTTCAATTTATTGTTTACCAAAACTGAAGTGTACCATGTCATCGGCATACAGCAAGGTCAGCAAATCTGTCATTACCAAGCTGGGTGCCATTACACTTGTTACATATTAATTGAGATAAAGAAAAAAACAAATTGTTCATTGTGCCAACGTTACATCTAAAATTCTTTTTCAACCCATCAGCTCCTTTTACACATAATTTCAGCTGAGGATACATGGACTTCAAAACATGAACAACTTTACCATTAATACTGTTCTTAAAATACAAGAAATTGTGTTGAACACCATCACATGCTTTAAGAAAATGTTTGTAATGTATTTCTGGACAGCTGATTGTAAAATAAAATTATCTACTGCTGAATAGCCTTCTCTGTAGCCAACTTGTTCTTCATACTGTTATATTCAGCAACCTTCTATTCAAAACATTTATAAAAAATTTTACCTGGTAGTATTGCTTCTTAACGATACTACTTCCACTGCTGCTGCTGGTCGATACTATAATTACTCATAGAATATTACTACCAATACTATTTCCACCAGTGCTGCTGCTTTTAATGCTTTTGCTGCTGTTACTACTACTGTAACTGCTACAGCTATCCCTGGTACTATGACTTAAACAGTAATGCCAGGAGTATTGCTTACACTTGTACATAGAAAAACACCTAAACCTCTATGACTACTACTTCTCTTGCCACCTGTAATGTACTCCTTCAGTTCTTACAGTATGAATACCATTTCTATGGCTAGTATCTAGCTAGCTTGGTAATTAATAATAAATAGAACCGGTTAGTCACTACACATACAGAAGAATAAAATTGAATGAGGTAAGAGAATATAAAACCATATTTTAAAAAATGAACAAGCTGTTTTCAGTAAAACAGGGATATTATAAACGTATCAGCTTCCTGTGGTCTTCTCACGTTAGTCTACCTGTGGTGTGTGTTTAGATCCTTCAACTACTGCAGTGGCTGAATCGTTTCTGGGATGTCTGTAACATGCTGCCAGCTGACTCTCAGGGCATCTCTGTGCTGTCTCTGCACTGGCAGTGGGTCCAGAAACACCTCATCCTTCGGCTACCACAGCTGCTGCTGGGAAACGCTTATGCCACATTTGAGTAAAGACTTTTCTCCATATTAAATAATGTTACACATTTTGTAATAATCTTATTTGATTTTTTTTAGTTTTTGTTTACATTGCTGTTACAGAACATTGGAGAGATGGTTCACAGGTTCAACAGGACTTTCTTTAGTTTCATATTACATATTAATGTGTTACTATTGTGCTACAAAAATATTTTTCAATGCCCAAAATTATGATATTGTTACTTACCACTTAATGATTGTGCTGTATTCCAGAGGCCACCAGGAGCTGCAGGCAGTCTCTGCAGCTGTCCAGACTGTTCTATCCCCTCCTGTGTCTATGGCCACAGCACTGAAAGGCATCCAGAAAACTCTGGGGAAAGCACTTCCATTTAAGGTGGGCAGAATTTCCACATCTTTGAAGTTGTTTATTCATCATCACATGTTATACGTCCTGTCCTTGTCTTTTACAATACAATTGTCCAACCAAAGAGAAGAAAACAAAGCCAGTTTAGTATAATGTCTGTGGTTGACAACTTATGTGAGATGATCTGAATTATATATTCATTTTCTGTAGCTGGAGTCAGTGGCTGAGTGTGCGTCCAGACTGCGGCTGCTTAGTAAAGCCTTGGATGTGAGTGAATTGAGGCTGGACAGCACCACGGGTTCTTGGAGGCAGGAGCTGGTCCGACTTCAGGGCGCTGGGCTCAGGCTAGATATCAAAGAGAGTCTGCTAGAAGCCTGGGGCCTTGTTCTGCTGGCAAACAACCAGCTGGATCCACAGAAGTCTGGTGAGCTTGTATCATATTGATGATGCTGGTCAACAGACATATCTCAGCAGCTGCTTTTATTTTGCCACAGATATGGTATGGATAGCCTGATTGTTACACATTATGTTTTGTCTAGCGCTATCATCAGATCATCAAAGTCCCTGTTGGGCCTCAGTGTACCACTCGTTTCACTGTAAAACAGAGAACAATAAGCTTCTGTCCACATGAATGCCACAAAAATACAAGTGAAATATAAAGTAGATAAATAAGCAACACTAAATCTAAGGCACATTAAGCAGCAAATGCAGCAATATAATAAAAATATATTAGAATATAATAAGAGAATGTATGCTGCATGGGAGCAGCATGTGCAGCAGTCAACAGTCAATGTGCAATTATGCATGTGCAAACTGAGAATGTAAACAGTACAGGTCGACAGTACATGATGTATTTCCTGGTAATAAACTCCTCAGCTGTTTAGGAGTCTGATGGCAGAGGGAAAGAAAGAGTTTTTCAGTCTA